AAACTCTGCTCTCTCCAGGGACATAAATACTGAATGAGCCTTTTCTGCATGATTCTCCCTCAGTCTATAACTCCCAACAGACAGCAGCATACTGTCAAAACAACTTTTCCACTCTTTCCTATAAATAGAACATTCATGGTTTCACTTGTTTTCCCCCTCTCAGGCTCCAGGCATAAACATATACTGATTCCACAGCGCTTGGTAGTTACAATTAATTTGCAGCATGTTCCCATAAATTCCTGTTCGCATTCCCTCAGAGGCCCACCTGCAGCGAGGAACCAAACTTAGTTGATTTCATCCAATATGATGTGAAACTTGGGGCGTTTATTGAGCACATGACATCTCCATCACCAAGCGTCTTTTCCTGCCTGCACTCTTCTCAGTATGTGCACAAAAAGGAAAAGGGTTTGCGTAGGGAGGAAATGGCTGTCTGTTTTGGGAATAAATGTTCAGATGTCCGGACCAGAGCAGGAAGAGGCTCCACTTCCAGTTTCAGTGGAACCAAAAGGGTGGAGTCGAGCTCTCGTCATCAAATAAGTCAAGTATTTCCCAACACTTGAGTTAATTCATCTGTTGTTCACATGTGCACTGTGTTTATCAGGATTAAGGACATTTTGAAATTTTGTATTTATCTAATAAAAGAAGGGAAGAAAATATCTTCTGGCTCAAAGTTAAGATATCTCGTTTCAAATCAACTCTTTTTTAAATTTAAGAGAGAAAGATAAAGGAAAGTAACGGTCAGCATCTTTGATACATTTCTGAACCATAAACAAAACTTTAGTCCATGTTATCTTTGCCAGCTCTGAAATTTAATCACATCTTACTTTACAAGCCTGAAGGAAATACTGCATGAAGGCGCTTCATGTTCTGTTGGCGGTTTTCTGTGAGGCAGCACGTGTCAACCACATCACAGCTTCTCATACACAAGTCCAGGGAGTGGATGGATGAACAGACCTCAAGCCGCAATGTTTATGTGTCACGGCCTGATTACAGTTGGGGACACACATACTCTGGGATGATACATCAGTCTGCTGCTACGTCTTTGTCAAGACAAATCCAATGCATAAGTATAGATGTTATTTCAAACTACAATTCTTTGGAAGCGTTCAACAACAAAAAATACATTTTTGTGTTGTGTGTGTCGTACTATCTTGTTCTATAGTATCCGTGACGCCCCCTTGAAGTTGCAAAATGTAGACAATCTGCCATGGTGAAATTTTTTCTTCTGTACTGTCAGTAGCCTCTATAGACTCAAGTGGAGTAGAGAAGCCTTAAGACATTCAGGGAAAATTGGGTGTGGACATTTTCTAAAGTTTGCCTTTCACATGTAAAGAACACAGCAGGAGATTGCCCAGGTCAGACAGGAAATATCTGGAACAGAGCAAGAGCAGGAGTTGTACTCTGGTGGTTGTTGACAGGTTTTCTGGGATATGTAGAACCTTGAGGAAGAGTAGGTATGACAAAAAGAGATGAGTTCCAAAAAATCATAAAAATAACCACTGGAATCTCAAAGAACAAATCCTGCTCCTCATAGAGTTTCATGCTCCGGCAGATAAACACACTCCCAGAATCCATCACAAATTCACACCCACTCTTCTGTAAGGTTTTTTTATTCAGCATGTCGCCTCCTCATTGCTCAAACAAACCCAAGTTTTCATGCCCTGAACTTTTGTTGCACTCATCAAGGAAATGACCCTGTGCTGCATGGAACCGGATTCATCCGCAGTGCAACTCTGGGCTACATTCATGCAGCAGCAACATTGTAAGCAAATAACCTGCTTCATGACCCATACAGTTATAATGAGGTACATGTTGAGCCATTCAGCATCAGAGATTTTTATTTAATGAAATATTCTGATCGAGACTCACTGATTATTCAATGCTACTGTCATGTGGATGTTTGTCAAAATGGTGATACGTTTTTCTTGAACACGAGAGCTTAAACAATACAATTACACATTTATTCATTTGTTCTTTAAACAATACATTTGAACTTTTTATACATTGTAATTTAATTACAATTGTATTTATTTATTACAGATTTGTATTAGTTCTTCATAAAAGACAGACAAACACACAGAAAACAAGACAAACAAGTGCAATAAGGAGGGTGGGGGTGTTACACTATCAAATTACCTTATGTCTGTGTTTCTATGTGACACATAATCCGACCATATGAACACATGCATGCATGTGATGTTACCTCAACAGCAGCCACACTTCATTTATCACTTTTCCTGTATCAGAGTTCTCCGGTGATGATTGGCTACTGCAAATATCATTTTGTGTTTGAGCCCGAGGATTCCTGAATCCTGTGAAAACCACATGCGACAGTCTCACACACATTTCTGCTCCTGCAAACACACAAGAAACGTGACACACTTCCTTTCTCACAACGGTGAAGAGAGTGGAGAGAAAGTGCAGAAAGAGAAACACAAACACGGAATGAGGAAAAAAACAAACATCTTTCCAACTTTGAGCAAAGTGCTGCGACTTTTGCTGATGTTCCAAGAGCAGCAGCATGTGACTCACCGCTCTGGATCTGATTGAATCTGATTGCAATAGTGACTCATGGGTGATTGTTTGAGGAGAAAAATAGCTTTGTGAATAGATGAGGCTGGATGTGATCACTCAAACAGAAGTCCCTTTTCATCTCATGACTAAAGCTCGGCATATGTTGGTTGCAGTGCGAGGAATTCTTCAAAAGTACAGTTTCATATCTGCTGCCACCTTCAAATAAACACGCTGCACAGTTGCCTGAAGCCAACCTGGAGTAAACTGTGCATCCTCATCTCACGGCTTAACATGCAGTGGAAATCAGAGGTTTCAGGGAAGGGGGGGATCTAGAAGCAGTTCATGGCTTTGAATAACGGATCAATTTATTTCTTTTGCTGAGACAATTTCAGGTGGAGTTTAGCATCAGTCCCCTCTCTTCAACAAGAACAATGTGTGCAATACACTCTCTGTGTATATGCAGTGTCATCCAATATGTGCATAGATTCTCATGTCTGTTTACATCTAATTTATCTACTTATTCAATATGTGCATTTTCTATTTACACTGTGTATACAAATAACATCAGGTAGTTTTTATACCTGCTTAGCATTTTTAATAGCATTTCTGAGCTGGATTCAATGTATTAGTGCTACTGTGCACTTATCTTGGTCTGAATGATGATGAAGTGAAGTTGGAAACTTGGAATCAAATTTTTATGCAATTATAAGGGATATGTGTATAATACGTTAGTGTTCTTGATTGAAAGACTTACATGGGAGGTGAATATTTTCGCTATAGAGGCTGTGAAATAAAATGTAAATCTGTATAAAAGTCTATTATCAGATCAAGGATACACGTTTGCAATACTCCGATCAGTCTGTGCTGCTTATGTGCAGATAACCTCCAGAAATCCATTCCATCCGCACTGAATGATTCATAGCAACACCAGTTATCTACATGATCTTATTACTACAGTATATAGGCTTACATTGGTTGTGTGGGAAGCAGAGTTAACAGCAGCAGCACAAATGCAAAAAGCCTCAGCTGTGTTCCGCCATCTGCTTTTCTGTGCTCAGTTCAGCTACACTGATGAAATCCAAGGAAAATACCAATTCTCATCTTTCAGCTTTCACTCTATGTGGCTCTATCCACATTCACAAACGGCGGACATCCTGTGTACTCTATTGTGAGCGATACACATTACAGAGCACATTCAGGGCATTTGAGCGCTCATTGCCTGCAGTTTGTCAATCTGACTCAATTGCAAATGAGAAAGCGCCATGATAGGGATCATTAAATCCCTGTGATTATTTAGAAGACTAATGGTGGCACGTAATGATCCGAGGAAATGTCTGAACTGCGGTTTGATGGAAGATGCATATGGACTCAGGGTGAGAGGGAGGCAATAGAGGAGTGACACTGCAAAACAATGCCACAACAACAAACACTTTCTTATAGAGGTTCTGGCCTCTTAAAACAAACAGCAGGGGAAACGATTATAAGAGGAACTAGTCACAATTGGATGTTTGGTCGTATTTATAGAAATAAAAGCCAGAGCAGCTATGCTTCTCATTCTGCAATATGTTTTATACGCCTCATTCCTCTTTAATCTCTTTCCACAGTTTGACGTCCTGAGGTCCTGCAGTGACTCCACTGTGTTTTACAGCCTCCCTGATGTGGGGACGAAAGGCCTGTTTATCCCTCATTAATCTCTCTCCCCTGCTTTTACCGCCCACTTAATGGTGACGTTTATCCAGTTAATGTGTTGTTTGCTGGAAAAATCCCCCAATAACATAATCCAGAGTCAATGTTGTGTGTGTGTGTGTGTGTGTGTGTGTGTGTGTGTGTGTGTGTGTGTGTGTGTGTGTGTGTGTGTGTGTGTGTGTGTGTGTGTGTGAGAGAGAGA